CCCAAAGAGGGACTCCAGGCGACTCACAAAATGAAAACACATTAAAAACAGATTTTCTTAAAAAAACCCCAAAACAACCAATTAAAATAACCTAGTTAAAACAGAATAAAATTGAAATTGAAAGCGTGCAAAAGTTAAACAAAATAATGAATTTATATTTCTTATACACATACTGTATAACTGATATTTTGTTGAGATGTTGTTGTTTATAATCTGAGAGCCACCTTGGGTTCCTTCTGGGAAAAAGGCGGCATACAAATGGAATGAATAAATAAATTTTAGGCACAATATTAAAAATAATAATAATTTGGTTCATGAAACAAAGTGTGTGTGTGTGTGTGCATTAAACTGTCAGATAAAGCAAAGGTGACACTGTCTCAGCCTATTTGGGGTTTTGGAATTCTGGATAAGGGAGATTCAGCCTGTAAAAAGGAGTGGAGGGTAGCTCCTCCATTGTTTGCTTGCTTTTGGGGTTTTCTTGGATGAATGGATGGCAGGTCTTTCCTTGGAAGCCTCAGCCTCATGGACTATAGAGTTGCCAGGGGTTCTTATTAGAAGGGATGCCCCCTTCATTTAGGGTTGAGAAGCTTGTCCCTTACTGTTGTAGATGTTGTTGTGCACCTTCAAGTTGTTTCTGATCTATGGCGACCCTATTGTGGGGTTTTCTTGGCAGTATTCCTTCGGAGGAGGTTTGCCATTGCCTTTTGAGGCTGAGAGTGTGTGACTTGCCCAAGGTCACCCCACAGTGGGTTTCCATGGCTGAGTGGGGATTCGAACCCTGGTCTCCAAAGTTCTAGTCCAGAACATGGGATGTCCTCCTTTGAGGGTTGGAAAGCTCCCTCCCTTTTAAATGTGCATCTACACTGTAGAAATACTGTCTTTTTTTTTGTTTTGAATTATTTTTTTAAACACATTAACACAATAACAACATTTTGAATCATTTACACTTGTGTAGAAATGATACAACAACAACAACAACAGTGTGGAAATAATGCATTTTGACACCAGTTTAACTATCATGGCTCCATCCTACAGAATAATGGGATTTGT